AGGTCTATTTCGGGATCAGGTCTCTAGGTTTACATTCTCCATATGCAGCAGGAGGGAATGCAGAGTGAAAGAAAGAATAACATAATCTAATGTACTGTTGGTGACCTGCAGCCCCCCCATATGAAGTATTCGGTTCCTCCCAGCATGCTTCACGGGCTTTGGATGGTCCAAATGCCTCTTGCACCTGTCTCAAAGTCCTGTTTACGAGCAGGAGGAACAAGTGTGAGAGAGACAGGTGGAAAGCACTTGCTGCAGAAACTGTGTCTGAGAGCAGGTTGGGGAAATACTCTCTGGGTTTTCTGATTTGAAACATGTGACGTGCAATCCTAAAGATGCATGCAGACACTAAGAACATTTCCCCAAATTATATCTATTTTCAATTCTCATAAAGTGGGTAAATGATCCCAGCTTTAAGTGACTTGTTTAATAAAAAGTGCTTCTAAATCTGTGTGAAAACCTCATGCACTTTACTAGTCTTTGCACTTTCTTGTTAGATGCAAACTGCATTTCTTTCTGTGCATTGACAATAAAGTTGAATCTAATCTATAGAAAAAGAAAGAAAGAAAGAAACACACGTGCAACTTTTCCCCCTTCCGTGTATTCCCGTTTCCAGAGTTCATTCTAAAAGTGAGAAACAATTCCTGTAATGTCCGCGCTCCGGAGGTCAGACTCCCTGTGTGGTATCGGATAAAAGAGCAACCGAAATAGCACCGGACTCCCATGAAAGCACCATGTGCCACCGGGTCCCTTTCACCCCTGGGTGCACCTGAGTTGTTTTTACCCCCCCCTCCCCAGCTTCAGATATGCTGTGAATTTGTCACTTATCAGGGGGGCTGAGCTGCCAAAGGCCATTTTAGGCGCAATAACTTTCCCGGATGGATTTAGCCTGCCAACTTTGCGCATCTCTCAGCAGCTCAGAGATGCCTGTTGCTTCCCAGAAAATGTCTCCCGCGCCTGCTAATGAAGACTAATTAAAACATGACAAACATCGACCTTTAGTGCATCCTAAACAGGGCTGCAAGCATGACTGGGATTATGCAAATGAAGGGCTGCTTTCTTTGACAATATGTGAGCAGGTGACTTATTTTATATATGTGTGTGTGTGTGCATGAAAACAGCTCTGCTTCTTTACATATGGCGCACATCTGTCTGCACAACAGGTGTCTGAACTGTGAGTTATAAGGGTACAGATTATTCTAAAAAATGTGTTTATTTTTCACATTCTGGCATACTATGTTTTTATTCAGATGTTTTTCAGCATACTGTCACCATTTTGTCCTTTGCACTGTTTTATTTCCTTTTGTTTTAAGTGTGTTGCATTGTTGGAGCCTTAGACTTGTTCATATGACAAATAAATCATATGTAAAGCTGCAGGTAAATCAGTAGACTCCACATTATCAGAGTTCTCCCTCATATGTCCTTATTTATTTTTAATTGATTAAGGAAAAGGCTATGATATTATGAACTTGCTGTGCACCTTTGCAAATAAATGTTGACTTTCTGCCTCTCAGGGTATCACGCCCAGCTATTATTATTATCATTACGCTGGTCGGTTTAGGGAGTCAGATGTGAGCTGTGAGCTGCAGCGAGTGTGTTTTTAATTTACACTGGGAAGGATTTGTTTGGATGGCATGCATAATGTGCCATCACATGAGGTTTAGCCTGTCATTCTGTTGTTGTCCTGCGGAGGAAGAAGAAGAGGAGGAAGGAGAAGAGGAATCAACAGGAATGGCACACAAGGCTAAATCCCACTGCGACGTTGTTTAAACATGATTCTGTGTCTCTGTTTTTTCTTTTTACTGCAAGACAACCTGGAAACAGCTCATTTTTTATTGTTCTGAAACCCTCTTGAAAAACAGCTCCTTAAATGAAGAGTGGGGGGATAATAAGACCCTCCGATGGGAACATGTGCAGAGCAGCCTGCCATTTGAATGATCACAGAAGTAATTTGAGCTAAAATGGAGTCCAATGTTCTCCTCTCACTCCCCCCCCCCCCCCCCTCCCCCCCCATTGGCATAATAATTCATTATTCCTGGCCTACAGTGGGAGAGGCACTGATCGAGGTTAGAGGACAGGAGTGGACCTCAGCTCTGGTGTAATGAAGACTCAGTAGACCCTAAACACACACTCGCACACACACATAATCGTTCATTATACATCTCGCAGGGCAGCACATTAATGCGGCTGAAGACCTTTATATTTTTTTTTGGCCGAGAAATAAGAGTGTGCAATGATTTCCTCCACTCTCGATCCATTTCATTGACCTTTTCTATCATGCATGTGACTCGCTGCAGTGCCGGATAAATATTCCAGGAATAATCTCCCTGCCTGCCACTGTTTAATAAATCATCTTTTGGAGATCTGAATTTTTATGTTCTGGTGCATTTAAGGAGAAATCTGAGTGGAAAAAAACACGTTTTGGTGAGAAGTGTTCTACCTCTTTTGTATTAAACATGTATTTATGTGTTGTCTGAAGCCTCCTGAGATGTATACATGTCATTTTTGTATGGAATAAGTGGATGAACAAAGCTTTTGCAAGACCTCTCCTGTTTCCTGTGCCTCCACTAGGGGTCCATAGAGGTCATGGTGTTAATGTCCAGAGTAAGAGGATAAACACTGTCATCTGGTGGCAACAAAAGCCATCACTCCTCACTGTGATCTACCTGCTGCATTTACCTCTCCTCCATGCTCTTGTTTGTAACTTCCACCTGCATGCATGCAACTCTCAGAGACTTTTAGATGTGTGTGACGGGCAAAGAGAGGAGGAGGGGGAGTCATGGCGTCTTCATCCAGAAACTGAAGAGACCCTGAGGTGAGGAGACTTACACACACGTTTATAAAAAGTTGTTTGCTGTGAGGAAAAACACTTGCACACACTGAGTTTGCAGAGGTTAAAGGTGATGAAGGTGTTGCACAACTCTAAACAAGAAAGGAAGTTAAATGTGGAATGCTTTTTATTTTATTGGACCTGTAGATGATGTCGTTTTTCTGTAACACCTTTTTTGATCCGTACTTTTCTATTCTAATCCGCTGTGCCATCTTTAAATTCAGCAGTGGTGGAAAGAAAATAAGTACATTAGTATGAGTATTTGAAAGAGGACCGACTGTATTCTGCTTTTTGGGGGGTTTCTCTTCCCTGTAGTGACATCAGGGCGACTGTGGCTGCGAGGGAGTGCGGTCGTCCTTCAACCAGAAGGTTGTGGGTTCGATGCCAGCCCATACAGTCAACATGTCGATGTATCTTTGGGCGAGATACTTAACCCTGACTTGCTCCCGATGGCCAACGGTGTGTGTATGAATGTTAGGTCCTAGAATGGGTGAACGACATGTAGCGCTTTGAGGGGTCTTAAAGACTGGATAAAGCGCTATGTAAGTACAGTCCATTTGACCATTTAACTGTAGTGTATTCTATAGGTTTCTGTGCATGTAAATGGTCTGCAAAGGCTACAAATCTCCCTAAATTGTGTCTTTGCGAGTGAACAGCATATGTAATTCCAAGCAAAATCAATAATCCATGCACTTGTGTGGCAACAGTTTACAGTAAGAGATCCCCCTTTTTTTTTTGGACATGATGTGACATCAAAGACGCTGTAAAAACAAACTCCAGTGGGAAAACAAAAATGCACGATTTCCCATAATCAGGCTTCCCTTACAGTTGCATTAAAAAAAAATCTGACTAGCGTTAAATTGGGGATGTATTCAACTAAAACTGAGCATACTCTGTTGGCTCAGATTTGATGTCTTTTTAACTGTAGTAGTGCTCATGGTGTCTAGGCTACTGCCTGAACATGCTTCATGATATAAGGTCTTTTAGCAGAGGACACATTTTGATATGTTTCCTGGCAGACAACAAATTAATAGGCTCAATAACAGCTATTCCAGAGACAAAATGGAAACACAATGTAGCTGCGAGGAGATGAAACTGATGTTCAGATCAATACATCAGATGGGTCTGTCTCCTGGCCTTGGAGGAAGGACGTAGAGAGAGGGGGTGTACGAGGAGGGGGGGTTATTTTGGCAATAAGGAGGCGCTCTAATGGAGTCTTTCAGTTTGCCGTGGCTGGAAATGAAAGGAGGCTGAAGCCCGGCCAATTATTGTGCCTGAGAAGAGGAGGAGGAGGGGGAGTGAAAGAGGAAGAAGAGGAAGAAGAAGTGGCGTGTGGCGCCGGATCGTTGGCCTGTCAGAGAGACAGATAAATAGATAGAGGGGCTTCCAGAACGAGGGGTTTCCATTCAGAATAGCCCACAGATATTGGCCCCACTCCCAGAAATTTCCCTCCCCAGAGCAAAAGGTTAACTGTCAGTCCCCCGCTAGGTATAGATAGAAGTCTGCCCTCCAGAAAGGCGTGTTTTCGGAGAGGAGGGGGAGAGCTAGTGACACACAGGGGGTGGGTTTTATTCGGGGAGGGGGGGGAGAAGATGCAGCCGAAGACATTATAATGGCTCCGGAGACTGACAGAGGCCACGGACAAAAGAGTGTCCTCATCTATTCAATTTGGGCCTGACAGCAGACACAACAAACAGCCCAGAGACCCCCGGTGCAACGGACCCCCAGACGAAAAAAAAACAACCCAAAGCCATTGTGTTCCTGACGCTGCTGAGACGTGTAATTAGGGTAAAAATAAAAGGTCTATATCATGATGTAATCAGTATTAAAGAGGCCATATTCAGCTTTTTCCTGTAGTGTGTTTATAGGTTTTTGTGCATAAACGTAACATGACGTCCCTATGTAACACTCACGCTCCTATTGGCTAGTGCTCCAACACATTGTACATGATAGGTTAAGGGGCGGGACATCTCTAAGCAGGTTGACCAATCACAACAGAGCCGTCCAGAGCAGACTGGGCTCTGGTTTCAGACAGAGGGTGAAAAGAGGTGCTGCAGGCAGTATGAGAAAAATAAAGAGCTTTTTGAACATTAAAGCATGGAGACAGTAGAGACATTAAATTAGAAAAAGATGTCCTCTTTAAAACCCTTATTGAAGAATGACTAAACGCAGATCTCCTTATGAGGTGTTTTTATTTTTCACTTAAATCCATGGTAGCAAAAAATTATACACCGCTGAAATATCAGACACACAAACGCCTAAAACATCCAAAAGGTGCTTCACCACCTCCAAAAATAAAGCTTCCTCTCCAGAATAACACACCTGAATGCGAGCAGATCGAAGTGATCCGCCACAAAATGTTTAAAAAAATATGATTTCCTTCTATGATGAGAATTTTTTTGACACAATATATTGTTTCCTCTCTTGTGAGAGTCATTGGTTTTGACTCTGAAGGCATGTAGTCTGACACTAATCTCTGAAACTGATTTTTTGTTTTTTAGGTATCCACACTGCATATACTTGTCAGAAATAATAAATAAATGGGCTCATGAATACTCTGATTGCACTTAATCCTCGCTAACTAACATACTGTAGGTCTAGTGTGGCAGTAATACCTGTCTGATCACAAGGAAAGCCATTTTACATAAGCAATAATGTCGTGTTTGTACAAATGATGAAACTAAAATGGTTATAGTGACAAAAGCACTACGTTCTATAATACACAGGCAATCACAGACTGCAAATCTTAATGTCTTCTTCATCGCTGTATGTTCCCAAAACTAAATCACCGGAGAGCGGTTTAAACCGGTTTACCCGTGGCAGAAGTACTTTACTCCTGGTACATTATCTCCAGAATAATGCTTTGACTATCTCCATAACTTAATAACTAAAAACGGTTTTATATGGAGGAGGATTAGGGCCCCAAAAAGTGAGGATTTTGCAGGGAAAAAAACAGTTTTTTTCTGAAAATCTGATATTCTTTTCAGGATTCTGTTAATTTTTTTCTTAGAATTCTGACTTTTTTCTCAAAATTCCCAATTTTTTTCTGAGATTTTCAACTTTTTTTCTCAGAATTCAGACACAAAAAAAAATCTCTTTTGGTCAGATCTCCCCAAAAATGTCACACGCGGCCCTCATCATCCTCCACCGTTTTATAATAATTGTATGGTGTAAATATACCATTCAAGGGTCAATGCGACTTCTCTGAGGAACTTGAATTGTGAGCTTTTTGACTCGAAGCATATTGAATTTGCGCAGGTGAATCACAGCCTGTAAAGACTAATTGGCACTCCTCTACATACTTCCTGTCTCTCTATTCTAATCTCCATCGTCACTTTAAAGGAATACTTCCATATTTGGTTTGGGGTCATTCAAAAATAAATACTTAATTTGGTTAAACTGGGAACACACATCTCCCTGCGCTTCAACTGAGAATACATTTCACTGAGAGAGAGTGAGGACATCTGTTTCGCGCACTCGTACAATTCCCTTTTTATGATTATATATATATTAAAAATAACAACAAAAATAGTCTTTTCCACCAAGTCCAGGGTGCATCAACACCTCCACTCAGGAGGATGCTTCCAGCGGGGAAATAAAACACTTCAAAATCAAAGAAAAGGCAAAACACCGTCCTCCTGTCTTGATGCGGATGGAGGTTTGGCCACAAGGAGGTGCATGGCACTTTGTTATGAGGACAAAGGATGAAGTCTAATCAGAGTCTTTTTCCTCCTGTTCTCTCCTTCTTCACATAACGTGTCCATCTTTAAGTCGCCTGTCCTTCTTCTTCTTCGTGCTGCGTTCAGTCCATGTGGGGTTTCTCCACGCCGCCCTGAGGGGAGACAGAAGAGTGTCAATAATACACTTTATTTATATAGCACCTTTCATGCTTGACGCTGCCCAAAGAGTATGACAAAATAAATCACAATAACAACTGAGGAACATAATTAAAACATGTAAAACATTAAGCTGTCTGTGGCTCTGTTTCTGCTGTAACAACGTACATTTCCCCTCTGTGGGACTAGTAAAGGTATTCTGAAAACAATGAAACATGAACAGTGATACATCTAAAAATGATAAGCCAAATTAAAAAGATGCGTCTCAGAACACAGTGTCCCCAGTTTTCTTGTAATGCAACTTTAGGTACTTTTAAAAGTGAAACATTGGAGGATCTAAGTAGAAGATTGAACACATTCACCAAATCAAAGTAATGCCGAAGTTAAGAGTGCTTTACAGCTGGAATGAAGTGCTTCAATGTGAGCTGCTTTATAGTCAGATGTATGAAGCTGAAGTGCTTTGTAGAGCGATGTCATAACTCAAACTGTCGGTGTGTTTATGACCTCAGGTGACTCGTTTCCAAGAAATGAATCTGAGTAGTTTCACTTTCCTGTGAAGAGCTGCACCCGCTCTCAACAACCAGTAGCTTTTAAGCAAATAAGGGCATGTTGCTGCTTTTGAAAATATGTTAAATGTCAGCACAGGAATATTTAGCTCTCAGTTCCTCCTTTTTTTGGAAGTGCTTATTCCTTCTTTTTGCAAAAGGGGAAGAGAGGACCTCTTGCTCAACACGTGCTGCTTTCTGACGGCTCATTTAGCCATCTTAAAATATCACAGAGGACATATTCTCTCGTTCTCGGGTGAGGGCTCTTCAAAGTTGCTCAAATGTAGCCCCTCGTTGTGGTTTCACCTACAATGATGAAATGTGGTATGTGTATGAAGCACGGTGAGACGAACAAAAAAGCCTCTTGGAGACATATTGTATAACGAACAGGAAGTCGGCTATTTTGAATTTTCTATGCAATTCTTCGCACTTACTCGTGCCGCATTTGAACAAACTCTCATGCTGCAAAAAAGATCTGTAAGAAAAAGCCCCCAAAGTCTCGTGTTCTTCCTCATAAAATACCCCTCATTTAGCACAGAGGACATATAATGCTCTTTCAGGTTCATATCAGTATGTAGTGTCTCTACTGTGACATGTTTCCATGCTTTAATGTTCAAAATGGTCTTTATTCTCTGGAGGGAACACAGGGATTTTACCCTTTGCAGACCATTTACATGCACCCAAACCTATAGGACAAACTACAGGAAAGGGAAATCCCCCAAAAGCAGAATAGGGCCCCTTTAAAAAAGACCTTATATTATGATATGGCCCTGCCGATAGCTAATGTATCTGAGTCTCTGCCTTTTATTCAACCCCAAGAAGCATAATAGTGTCTCTGTCAGACATGGTTGTGATCTGTTCGCCCTGCATGCCGCAAAACAAGATCTGTAACACAGAAGGAAGAGGAGAAAAAGCCCCCAAAGTCTCGTGTTCTTCCTCATAAAAATACCCCTCTGGAGAGAGAGAGAAACCCATGAGTGCCGCCTTGTGCCAACATTCCTCCGGCCCGATCACAAACAAAAACAACGTAGGAGCAAATGACCCTGTGGTCAGCCGAGTCCTGACTGCCAACACTGTGACAAACAAACAGCTTTAATCTGCTTTCACGCTGCCACTCGAGTCAAACTGAGCGCTGACGGGACTTTGCTCTACAGACAGAATGAGGTGAGGCTTCTGGGCACGAGCTTAATGGAGACATCAGAGCTGACTTGATGGGATAATTATGAGAGAAGTCTTTTTAAAGGGCCTTGACATGCTGCGGAAGTAGATTTATTTCTTTTAAGAGTGCAAACTTTGGAAAAATGTGATATTTTAAGTGTCTCGTTCTCGGGTGAGGGCCAAAGGCTCTTCAAAGTTGCTAAAATGTAGCCCCTCGTTGTGGTTTCACCTACAATTATGAAATTTAGTATCTACAAGCAGCACGGTGAGACGCACAAAAAAGCCTCTTGAAGACATATCGTATAACGAACAGGAAGTTTAATTTTCTATGCAATTATTCGTACTTTACTTCTGGGCACGAGCTTAATGGAGACATCAGGGCTGACTTGATGGGATAATTACGAGAGAAAGGGGGGAGGGGGCGTCCAATGCACTACTTTTTTGACAATGTTATCGTGGCGCAGCTTAGTGGATGCACATAAAGCGTGCAGAGGAGTTCTCTAATGCAAATCTGAAGCTGGTTGACGGCATGTTTCGTGGAGCTGTGGGATTATTCTGTTTGCTGAACATGCATTTCTATAATTAGCAACCCACAAACACTTAAAACTATCAAAGTATTGTCTTAAATGTGCTTGTTTCTTTTACATATATTATGTTTACCATCAACATAAGGCTCGTTACTTATAACCTAGGATCTGGTATCGTTTTGCATTCCTTTAAAATGAAAACTTTAATTGGAAATAGATGTAGTTTGTTAAAGTATATTTGGGAGCACTGTGAACCTGGAAATGTTAAATACCGTAAAGATTTATGTTAGAAATGAACAATATGGGTCCCCAGCATGTAGAAACTGCCGGATGCTAACTTGCATATGTTGTTGCACTTGATATCTTTAAGTTGAAATACGCTGTCAAGATAAAACTTTGAGGTGTATCTTTGATGCTTTTAAATTAGACTTACCATGGCGAGTTGGCGTCCGATGTTCCCCACGGTAACTCCGCCTGAGAAGAATATGCACGGGAGCCAGGAGCGCACATACAGGAAGTCCGGAGACGTGTATCTAAAAGAGAGGAAAAGCCCAAAAAATGTACAATTAATATCCATGAAGTAGAGATGTTTTGTTCAACAGCTGCTTCCAACTTTTTTTGAAGGAGTTAAAATAACTCGCATTGAGAAAGGCACCTCGAAGGACACCTATGAGTGGGAAAACCCATCATGCTAGAAACTATATTCATCATTCTTCTCTTTCTGTTTCTATCTCGTAAAGTCAGCTGCGGTTTGAGCGTCTTATCGTGAACAGAAGTCTGTTTTCTCAGCTGTGTGTTTTTGATGAACTCAGTAGGAGCGTTTGTTAAATTTGGCTCCAGGAGAAACAGGGACTTCCCAAAATAACCCTTCATCCATCACGTCTGTTTGATGGATTCCTACAGGTGGGTGTATAGATACTTCTCAGTCTCACAAGCTGTGTAATTAAAACTAAAACCTACATGGTTTGTGGTGTGAGTGCAACATGAAACCAGGAGTTAGTGATGACAGAGCACTGCTCATCAATCATTTCTGGCAGCTTTGTTTCCTCAAAAAAGGGAACATTTGTCTGTTGTTTGCTTTGTATGTTTTAATTAAAAAAAATGTGTGTCTATTATGAGAATGTGTATACTTATCTAATGTTGTGTTTTTTTTGTTGTTTTCTTGGGGGTGGGGGGATATATTTGATCTGCTTTTTGGCAGTCTGGTTGAAATGTGCACTGTTGCATCTACAGTATGTATTTGACTGCTCAATGACATTCTGTATGTATTCTGTACGTGCATTGGGGTTAAAGTCCCCTACGTGCATGGGGGGTACAGATGGGGTCCAAAACTAGCAAGCCACATGAATGTCTGGGAGCAAATTAATTTGATATGCTACACGAATACGGCCAGGATCCGTTGAATTTTCTGAATATTGGGCTGCAGATTAACATTTTCAAAAAGGGGGGTTTGTTTAGCATGAAGCACTTGAAAGAAATAAATAAGTTAAAAAAGAAAGTAGAAAGAAAGTGAGGTCAAAGAAAACTATTTTTGCTAAAAAGTGAGCAATGATTGAGTCAGAGCTCAACATTTCAGATGTGTGTATCTCACACTGCTCTGTCACTTTAAATCCATGTACCTTTGTTATTCATGTTTTATTATCTTTGCTTTTAAATGAGTGTTTTTAAATGCCATTTTATAATATGTTTCTTAATGTCTTTCATTTTTGTAAAGCACTTTGAATTGCCTTTCCCTCTTTGTGCACTGAACTCACTGGTAGACTCCGTTGTAGACGAGCAGCTGCGTGAACACGGTAGCGAGGACGGCGGTGGTGATGCCCAAACCGAAGCCGCTCCTGGACCGATCGAACGTCCACCAGAGACCCAAAGATAGAGCCGCCAGCGTGAGGGAGAGCTGCACGTTGTTGTCGAAGTCGAGCTTCTGTGGTACGGGAAGTTAAGGACAAAACCAAACAGTGTGACGCAAACACAGGATTAGATCCAACTCAAATATTTGTAGAAGCTAAGTTAGGGATCCTGCCAGTTTCCATTATAAGGACCGGAGCACTGACTGAGTGAAAGACCCATTGATATCGGACAGTTATTATTATATTTGCTAAAAGTAAATAGTGTTTTTAAAGGGCCTTGACGTGCTGCAAAAGTAGATTTTCTTTCTTTTTTGTGTGCAAACCTTTGAAAAATGTGATATTTTTAAGACTCGTTCTCGGGTGTGGGCCAAAGGCTCTTCAAAGTTGCTCAAATGTAGCCCCTCGTTGTGGTTTCACCTACAATTATGAAATTTGGTATGTGTATGTAGCACGGTGAGACGAACAAAAAAGCCTCTTGGAGACATATCGTATAACGAACAGGAAGTCGGCTATTTTGAATTTTCTATGCAATTTTTCGCACTTACTCGTGCCGTATTTGAACAAACTCTTTCTACAGATTACATCCGATAGACTTAACATTGAGTCAGTACCATCTTAAGACCTTGAGGATCAAAATGTGTGATGTGCAAGGGCTCGTCCAAAGTGTTTGCAGCTTTAATAAACCTAAAGAATTCTTAAATCAGGTAAATCATGATATCCTGTTGCTTCAAAACTGTAGATAGAACAGTGCATTTCATATTTTCACATAACACAGATCTGTAATAAAGAATCCACAGGCTCTGAAAGGATACAACACTGGCGTGGTTGATGCCCACGAACACCGCGATGCACCTCATGACGCTGGCCCACTCCCTCTTGAACTTGTGCGGCTCTCCCAGGTGTTTGTCGAGGCACGGATACAGCAGACCAACCACAGCTGTGCAGGGGAGAAAACAGACCAGAGTCACACACGATAAGCAGACAATCTGGAAAACGCCAGCTGGAAAATCCTGTCACAGAGCGGTGGGATTATTCTGTTTGCTGAACATGCACTTCCAAAATGAGCTCCATCAGAAACCTGTAGACACTTAAAAAACAATCCAAGTATTGTTTTAAATGTGCTTGTTTTTGATAGATATTATGTTAACCATCAACATAAGGCTCATTGCTTATAACCTAGGATCTGGTATCGTCTTGCATTTCTTTAAAATGAAAACTTTAATTGGAAATAAATGTAGTTTACAGTTTGCTAAAGTATATTTGGGAGCACTGTGAACCTGGAAATGTTAAATACCCTAAATATTTATGTTAGAAATTAACAGTACGGGTCCCTAGAACGTAAAAACGTCCGGATGCCAACTTGCATATAAGCCTATTTGTACAGTTGTTCGACAAATCGATCCAGCGTCCTCTTACACTTCAAAAAAGTCGATCAAAATCAACCACACTGGGAGTTGAAATATGGCCTTTCTGATTAAAATGTGCCATTTTGGATCCTGACATTTCAGAAGTGTATACAGCGTCCTCTAAAAAAAACAAAATAACTTAAATATTGTACAAATCTGCTATTCTTTCATTTGAACTTTTGTGCATAAAGGCTAATACTGCTAGTTAATGCTTATTGCCCAACAGATTCAAGTTTTCTAATTGCTGGGGACGCATACTTTACATTTCAAAACCTTTCCTGGTTCACATCAGGACTGAAAGTTTACACAATGAAAACGAGTCCCTACATGACATGAGATATTCATTTGGCTCTCAGTAATGTCAACAATCTGTAAAAGCCACACATCTCTTTTATGTGTTTCTGCCCTGCAGCACATGGAGGAGGAAGAGGAGGATGTTTTTTTACTTCTTTCTCCCCCCCCCCCCCACTTCCTGGTTCCTATCCTTAAAAAGGTACCACCCCCTTTCAGCTCACCCGTTATGACACTAGCCAATCAGCGCGCAGGTCGTATAGTATCCCGCAGCTGCGGCCAATCAGAGTGCGAGAATGTCAACCCACTGGCAGAAAATGACCACGAAGACTAGTATAGCATTAGACAGGAAGGCTGTTATAATTGCCAACAATAACAAAGCCGAATGATGATTCATGACCACATGATCATACAGTAAAGTGATATAAAAAGGAAAATAAAAGGAGAACAGTTTAATATGTACAATTGTTTAAAATGGCACTATTTTACGCGTAAGTTTGGTGAGGCATGTGCGTAAACGTTACATTTCCAGACTTTTAGCACCCATAAATTCATGTTACTAGTATTATTTTCGGCCTTTAAAAGAAAAGGCTACTTCCCCTCTTTGTCTGAAACTTAGCAGCCAACTCAAACTGCTCTGCACAGATATTTTAAACAAACTAGCTTCCATTTATCTCCAACAAACAGTGTGTTTAACTCACCGGCCCCTGTGCCGCAGCACGGTGGGATCCACCAGGCAGACGAAAACAAAGTTGTCATCACCTCCTCGGGAAACAAGGTGACATTTCTCTGAATCTGCAGCAAGTTGAGCACCAGGGCCAGGAAAGCCCCCACGGTGAAGAGCACGAGACCCCGGCGGATCAGATTGGCCGTGCGCACGTCGTGCAGAGACCCGTACGCGTTGCTGAGCACAGAGGTGATTATGGACATCATTTCTTCAGCTTTGGATGCTAACCAGTGAGCTCCGGATGAGTGTTTAGTCTCAACACTTGATGCACAGGAGCAGCTCCAACAGTGGTCCTCTAATCTGGGCATTTGGCACTTTAAGGCTGCAGGAGAAGGAGAAGAAGAAGAAGTGGATATATTTAGATCACAAGTGGAGAGAGAGAGGACAGTGTTGCAGAATAGAAACGGTGTTCTGTTACAATAAGTTGAAAAAGCTGGTGTTTACCTTGATCTGGAGACGTCTTCTTCTGTGCGTAAAGGCTCAAATCTCGTTCACATCATCGTTAGAGGAGAAAACAAACAGCTCTGCTCCATTCCACAGCACACAGCGCATAGCAGGCACAGGAGCTTCCTCTGCACAAAACAATCACAGCTGTGTCGGGTGAGAATCGGCAGCCAATCAGAGCGCGGCGGGTGATATGACGTAGCGCCACTCCACCGCCCCCTCGTGCAGGACAGACGAACACACTCCAGTCGCAGAGCAAGTGAAAGTGGTAACAGAGAAGTATTTAAATGTCAGCCAAAACACACCAGTCTGAATCAGAATCAGGTTTATGGCCAAGAAGGTTATTCATACGAGTATTTGGCATATGGTGCATAAATAAACACAGACAAAGAAGATACATTATGAGAAAAACGACCAAAAAAAATACAACTATTATGAAAAACTATTAAAAAAACATTAAAATATACAGAAATATTTACATGAAATATAGATAAATATAGATAAATGCTAGGAATAATATCATGAAATATAATCTGTGCAGTATTGGTATTAAAATTATAAAGCTGTGCAGATATTAGGAGGTAGCTTTGTGTACAAATATGCAAAATATTCAGAGGGTTGTGCATGACTGACATGAAACACAAACTATGAAGAGCATTTGAACAGCTGCAATAAAAAGCAGTGATGTTGTTTATAAAATGAGATGTTATACGAGCTAATAGACAATAAAGGTCGCCCAATAAGTCATGATAAAGTCAGTGCTGCTGAGATAAGATATTCTTTTATTGATCCTAGTATGGGAAATTCCTTTGTCACAGCAGCATGTAAACAAGCATTGCACATTAATTAAACATTAAATAAAATACAAAATAACAGCAAATATATATATGTATACAGTAATACATTAACAAAACAGAACAGTATGTACATCTCAACAGTGTAAGATGTATCTCTATTGAATATACAATATTAATACACAGATTTGAAGTCAGTGTACTTTGATATTACTTGCTAATATATGAGTTAACAAGTACAGTTTGGAAAAGAGATGTTTTTATAACTGTTTGTTTACCACTTCCTGTCTGATAAATGCTCAAACTATATAAACTATATTTCCCAAATAAAGGTTACACAAACTACTTCCCCTCTCCTGGGAACAGGGGTTCGTTGTGGCACATTTAGTTTTTTCTGTTGTTGATGAAAAGTGGTTGAACTCGGGGTCATGTTAAAGGAGGTGTGGCTGAAAAAGGAGGAGTGTGCATGAAGCCAAACTGCACGTCAGTGAGAGATAACGTGAGGGGGAACGGTTCAGTGCCCGAATGACATCATTCTTCAAGGGCCGACAACAACAAGGAACATTTTGTGCAAGAGGCCGTGTGACCTAGCCGGGTGTTTATGGGCCGAGTGATAACAAACCTCCATGGCATACGTGAGGCAGAAAGCATACATCCATAGGGGCAGGGTTTGTTTTCCACTGAGCCTGAGGACATGCATACACTTTCTTTTGCAGGACACATCTGAGACAAATGGAAAAATACAGTTATTTCAATTTAATTGTCAACAAATGATAGACTAGCTGCTGGCACTGTGTTCAAATTAATACCATGGATGAATCATATTTTCTTTCATGCAAATAAGCTTGAAAATTAAGCGACGCCTCATGACCTACAGCAAATTTGCAAAACAAAAACAGAAAGCATATCAATCAGATAGCATTTACTTTCAATTAAGCTAAATTGGTGTAATTATGCCGCCAATGTGTGGGTATTAAATTCATTTTTGTATTGTTTTTTAAATGATGTGCGTGTTAAAATGAGGGGACTATGTTTCTAGTTGTCACCCAGTTTTCAGCTTCAATAGCAACAGCTGAATTCACCTTGTTGTTTTTATGGCTGCTTCGACATGTGGAGGAAAACGATGCCCAATTACTGGGAATATTGTCAGAGAAAACAACCTGTATAAAATAAGACACAGAAACATTTCAGGCACAACAGATCCTTTTTTCCAGCAGCAGTGCTTTGGTCTAGGCTGAAATACCTCAGCAAATATTCCATGCATTTCTGTGAAATGTTGCACAGACATTCATGGGTATCCTAAACCCTGCCTTCCTCTTAACACTGCAGGAGTTTATATCACAGCAGGCCAGTCCATGGCTGAGTGCAGGGGAGAGAATACTCTTCTTTACTAAACAAATGGTGGCTTAAGTGAAGTGGCTTCTTTAAACCACCCCTCAAGTTTTAGGGGAATGGTACAGTCCAATTAGCCAGGTACATTTACAGGTATTGTTCATCAGCTCAGATGTTAGCCAGCCAATGCCAGGATCAAGGTGAGCTTCAAGACACTAACACAACACACATGAACAATCACTAAATCAAATGATAACCTTCTCAATACCCCAGAAATGGCACCAAAGTTGTGCTTTTAAGGGAATATCTCTGTACTGTAGGCTACTAAACACTTTCTATTTGGTGCTAAATAGCAAATGATAGCATGCTAACAGGCCTTACTGAGACCTGCTTAGTATAATAATAATAATACATGTATTTATATAGCGCTTTTCCTGGTGCTCAGAGCGCTTTACAAGCAAGTAAAGAAGAGTAAAAAGGAAAAAGTGCTAAGCTAGGTGGAATAGGAGTTGAAGGCCAGAGAGAAAAGGTGAGTTTTTAGGGCTTTGTGAGCATGTAGGCAAGCTGATGTTAGCATTTAGTACTCCTGTGTCTAAAGTTAATAAAGTTCCTAGCCTGAATTTACACTTTGAATTCTAACATCACTGACAGGTCTCTCTTGCAAATGAGACCTTGTGTCTCAATGAGATTTTACACCTGTATAAATAAAGGCTAAATAAAAAAAATAAAAAAAAAAAAAAAATCATAGCTGCTTATCATGCTAGCATTGTCTTTTTGAGCATGTTAGCACACTGAAATTAACATAACTGAAAGTACTGCTGTATCTGAAGTGTCCCAAGCTACTAGCATGAATTCAGACTTGTACTTACAAAAGCTGATGTCAAATACAGGGGAGCAGAGGCTACTTTATTCCAGAGACTTATTTAAAGTTATTAACCATGTCATCACACAATTGAAAAGATAGCCGAGCTGTTTTAGTCCCACATGAGCAGTTTCTGAATGAGTTTCTGAATGTTTCACATGGATATACGGTTCATCTTTGGCATTACAGTTTGCAGACGACGCCTTCAAAGAGGCCGAGTTTAAATTGGTTTCACTTGAATTGAATGAGAAAGTGCCATTTCTAAAATGGCAGTAATAACAGAATGGTTAAATATAAATGTCACAGCTGCACCAAACAAGTCAAGCATGAAAGAATATCGAGGGTTGAAAAGTTTGCATTTGTCCCCCCTTCTCTTTTCTGAGTGCAACAAATACAGCATGTCTTATTGGATGAGAGGACATTCTGCTTTTCAACCATCTGAATAGGTTTCCTTCCTCTCTCATTTCATAGCTCTTTATCAAAGACACTTTAATATACATGCTCAGTCGTGTCCTCTGTGGTCCTAAACCAACATACAGAGACATTCACTTTGCTGCAGTGCATGGATAACGACATCAGTCATATTCACTCAATCCTAATTTTACTGGTCCATGTGGTTAACTCAGATAAATCGCCAGAGCTTCACAGTTTCACAAAGGGGAAAAGGAGGTCAAAATGAAAAGTGTGCTCTCACCAAGGCCCCAAAAATCCAGCAAAGGGGACACATGAGTGAGTTAATGGTGTATGTGAAGTATATTCCCCAAATTAATACGTTGCTTTTTATTTAAATCAGTGAGTGTGTGTTATCTTAATCTAAGAAAAGTTGCATTGTTGGATATGTATTACCCAGTGTTGGAAAGTATAAGAACTGTACTTGAGCACATTATTGAGGTACATGGACTTTACTTGAGTATTTTCATTTAGTTATACTTTCTACTTCCACATTTTTGCAGCAAATATTGCACTTTTTATACTAGATTCATTTGAAAACATTAGGGACATTTGCACTTTGCAACTTTGGGATTTTATCATTTGCAGACCATTTACATGCACATAAACCTATAGGATACACTACAGGATAGGGATAACAACAAGACACAGAATAGGGCCTCTTTAATGTTATTACATCCGGCAATATTAAAATGATAGACGCAGAAATGCATCACTAATTGTAATCCAGTGATAAAATACATATTATTCCGAAAAAGGCCACTTTGGATATTAAGATTTGGTACATTTTGTATGTTTACTTGTAACAGAGTATTTCCCTGTTACTTTCACTGGTGTTACCTGAGACAGCTTCCACACAACACAAATGTATTATATTAATTAAGGGTGGTGGTGGCGAAGTCCATAGGGACTTGGCTTGGCAACTGGAAGGTCACCAGTTCAAGTCCCAGAAAGACCAAGTGCTACCAAGGTGTCCCTGAGCAAGGCACCGTTCTCAGGGGGCGCCGTAAGGGGGTGAAAAGTTAGGACGATTCTAAGGGCCCGCGACTGACAGGGGCCCAAACAATTTTAGAACATTAAGAAAAAAATGTTTAAGTTACCAATGTGGTATCTTTTCATGGGGCCCAAAATCCCCGGCGGCGGCGCCCCTGGCCGTACATAATGGCAGCACACGGCTCCTAACACTAGGATGGGTCAAATGCAGAGAAACCATTTCGTTAGTACCTGTACATAATGACAATAAGTTTAATCTTCTTCTGTCTTCTTCTTCCAATGACAGAAAGAAAAGGTTAAAAGTGAAATATTGTGGGATCCTGCAGGAATAAAGATCCCTAACATAGCTAGCTTAGTTTAGCTAGATGTGCATTAATGTGTAAACTGAAACTACAAATCGTAAGCTGATAGGAGGCAATAACAACCATGAAAGTGACTCTGCATAATAGCAAATAGCTCCGAGCAGAGCAGCCGAGCTGGCGCGGGTGTAGAGGAGGTCTCAGCCCCGTCAGGAGATAAAGCAGGATGCCACGACACTTCAAATGAATAGCAGATCAAGCGTCTCATAGATTATGCTGTTAGACTGGGAGGGGTTGAGTTATAGCTAAAGGAGAAGCATGCTGGGTAAATTGATCCATCAACCTCGAGCTTGACAATTCCTCTCCTCGATCCTGTGTGAAATTACGAAGAGAAACATCCTAATCCGTCCCCTCGGTGAGTTGATTAA